CCAGTAAGTTCTGAAAATTGAACAGGTACGTAGATAAAATTTAATCCTATAATTTAAATTCATAAAGATTTTTATAATATTCTACAGGTTGCAAATACAGAGGTTATTAACCTGGTCGTTTAATACATTAATCTCATTGATGACTTTGATATAAGCAGTTATTACCTTTCTTTTTATACAGTTCGTTGATTTTAGGTATATTTTATCGTAACAACTATTTTTTTTTTCACTTACAATTCTATTAATGAATACTATAGTATGTTTATTAACCCGGCAATTAAATTCTCGTAATGCTCATACTTATTACCAAAAGTTAAAATATAAATGTGTTTGCACATATAATTAATTTTTTGTCTTGCTAATTACGCAAAAAAAAAAAAAAAAAGCTACCTTCCGAAACTATAATTTTATATATTCTCATTTAATAAAATGGCATTTAGTGCATGGCAAAAGTCGTATGTATTTGTGAATCATATAAAAAAAATATTGGAATATTTTTCATTCGCGCGGTACTAATCAGGTTAGCTGCGCCATACCCAATTTGCTGCGCCATACATTACTAAGTAATTTTTAGTTAATAAATCGACCATTTGTTATTAATTCATTATTAATTATTAATAATGCAGGAGGTCCCATCACTAGACATAAGCCAACACTACTATCACTAGTCGTTGAAACGTTCGGATGTTTTCGGATAGTGAACGATCGGTTTGTCATTGTTTGATCGGTTGCATAATGGATTCGGAAACAATTTTTGAGAAAAGAGGCCTTTTTAAGTTACTTTCAGCTAATAATTAAACATGTAGATATTGCAATATTCTATACATTTAGTTATGGATTTAAAGTAAGTTTAAAACCCGTTTTTTGTAAAAACTTACTCTGTAATAAATTTTAACGACAAATAATTCTCAATCATGATTGGCTAATTTTGGGTCAAACCAAATCGGTCGATGTGATGGACCCTTTATGCATTTATTATTGGATTTGACGGCTTTTTACATCACTCTCACTCAATAGTTATATCTTTTCAAGTGATAACTGGAGAGCTAGATAAAAAAGGCAGTTCCTAAACAAAATTTGAGTTTTACTAAGTATTGTTGGAATCTTTTGATTCGTCGCTATTCGGTCTCCATTGCAGCAATTCGTGGAATTGTTTTCTTTTAATGAAAAATAAACAAACCTTTAAAGTACTATGCAATAATGTTTGTTTGAAACGTTTCAAATGAAATGATTAAAATGAAGTTTTGTATAACAACAAAAAATAAATGTCATAATGATGCTAATCCTAATTTGCAAGTAATGTGTAATATTAAATTTCGGGTTTATGTTAAATACGTCCGTCTCAGTTACGTGATTCGATGAGTTGAAACGTTTACTTCTTCGAAAAGTAGTGGACCAGTTTAACCGTGTGAATATTTATATAAAGCATAAGCTTTTCATGCATTTAACTGCAAAAAAAAATGAATTAATAGAGTCTCTCTTCATTTTTTTTTTTTTTTTTTTTAGCCCTTTACTGTCATTCTTTTTTTGGTTCTGGAACCAACTCGTAAATGACGATACTCTTAACCTACACAACTTAAGAAACATTATTGCATGTTGACCATTTTTCTAAAACAATCAATAGCAACATGAAGAAAAACTACTCTATTTTGTTAATGTCGGCACTAACTTTACAGATAGTAAACGCGAAAACATCCCTTGACGATGATGATCCTAATTTGAATTCATATAATTCTTTGGCGACTGGATTCAGCTTATTGCTGGTACAAATGAATTCAGTGGCTTGCCTATTTATCTTTTACCGAACCTTTATGATTTGGAAGGATAGTTCATCATTAACTTTCAGCCTTAAGTTTCCTTTCTATCTCGCTTTTATCGGTAAAATATATTCTCTACTTTTAACTTGAATTTTTGAACTTTTAAATATTAAAATTTTTTATTTTTTTTTTTTTAAAAAAAAAACAATTTAGAGTTCTGCATGTCTATTTTGCAAACATTTGACTTGGTACATAAGTTATTATTAATTAAGAATAGTTTGATAATACGAATTATGACGAATATGATCTAATTATTAATTATTAATCTTAATACATTTAGAGTAGCGTAATAGCCACACAAAGAACATTGACAACAGAAACCTGTAACTTGATAGAAGTGTTATCAATATTTTCCATAACTTTAATAATGAATCTAGTAATCCTTGTTTCGTTGCTAGCTTGTTTCAGTACGAAAAGTCAAATTATGGTTAAGGATGAAATTATTATGTTTTTGATTTCTATCGTGTTTTCAATCTTTTATGCCGTTGCAGACATCGGTAAAGATAAAGATGAAAATTGGTGGTATGTATTTGTTGGTCGTTAGCGTTTATTAATTAAATTTAATTTTTCTTCAAATCTTTATTTTTATTAACAGGTGTTCATCTCTATCCGAATCAATAGTCCCTTTAATAATATCACTATCCTACATTTTGCTCATTACTTTATTTCTCCTAAGTTTCATATTACGAATTAAAAATATTAAAAAATCTACTCAGAATAATGAATCACTTGAAAGTGAGTCCAAACGTCTGAAAGTTGTCGAAACAGAGAAAATTGCATCTTATGTTTTCATGATCTGGGTTCAATTGGTAATTATATTATTATTTGTTTTTGAATTGTATTTGTATTGTTTACGATATATACGAATATTTAATCCCTGCTTAAATCTTATTTTTGTTACATTTTTAACAGCTTCTTATAATCATCTATCTTATTACCCAATTCGCAATGGTAAATTCTTCTTCCAAAAACTTCGTTTGTTAATTAATTCTGCTTTTAAGTGGATGTATAGTAATTAAATTCTTTTTTGTAGATTAACTCTGTGGCTATCGGCGTATATTACATATTTGGTATATTTTGTCATCAAAAATTGCATTATTACTTTGATGCATAAACTAAATGCATGTTTTTAATTTTCATTACAAACAGCCTTTTCTGTTGGTGGTGTGTTAATCTTAATCCAATATATTCGTAACGAATCCTTAATGCACAAACCAAACCAATTGAATATTCCGAAGCTCGTAGTCGATCATGCGCCTAACGAAGATCCCGATGTTTCTCAGACAAATTCCACGAATTGTTTTTTTGGTCTATTTCATTCAAATAAAGATTCGTCACTCTTGTCGGCCAGTAATAGTCTTTCGCCTAGAGAATCTTTTCGCCATTCATTCCGAGATTCATTTCGTGACTCATTTATAAACATGAAATTACCATTCACAAAAATTCAAATCCAAGTGGTTCAACACCAAACGTCGGATTTTTCTGACAATATCACTAATGATAATCATGTTCATCTTGAAACTCCTGCCATTAGTAACATTTCTTAAAATTCGGTACAACTAGGAAATACATAGCACTGTGTGTCCGGAGCTAAAATTAATAATGATCTTTGGTACGTACGTACGTACAGTACGTATGTACGTACAGTACGTATGTATTTATCTATGCTTTATCTATAAGCTCGTGATTAACAACCAATCAGAGATTAGAAATAATCACGTGACACTATTGATCAAACACTATCGCTCCGGACAGTAAATATCATTCAATCATTTATTTCGTAGTGTTTATATGTAATATAGATTTCGTAAATAAACGGGTTAGCAGCGGGTATCAAAAAATTAATTGCAATTAAATTAGGGAACGCCTATTTCCACTATAAAAATTTACTATTACTATTTTCACCATTTGACATAATTTAGCATGATAATATATTCGTCATGTTTTATGTAGCTGAAAGTCGTGTAGGGCCGTGAAAAAGCTTGTCGGCCCCGGTCCTTGAGTCGACTAGACTTCAGACAAAGTCCGACTGTATATCTTTTGTTCTGAGGATTGTTCATTTTGATTGGCTAATTTACGTTGATCCATACATACTGATACTTTGAAACAGTGATCAGATTCCTGATGAATTTAATGGATCATGTGTCTGATAAGTTTGTTTCTATAAAATTGATTTCTGAAAATTTACAAATGCTGGTTTTAGCTTTGCAGCACTCAAATCATGTATTATTATATGCAAACTTGACTCAAGGATCGAGCCAAGGATCGAGTCCTGATCAAAGTCCCTAGTTGAGGGGATCATGTGAAAAGCATGATGGAAATAGACGTTCCCTTAAATTATTGTGCAATTACAATCAACTAAAATTGTTTTAAAAAAAAAAACAATGTAATTAAAAAATGTAATTAATTGCAATTAATTGCAAATTTTGCTTTTACCATAAGTTTGCTATAGGTTTTCGACTTTCAAATACTCTATTTTGAACCAGAAAAAAATTAATCGCACCCACATGCAGATCTAAAAAAAGCCTCTATATAACACTTTTGTGCACTTTGAAACCAATTCAAAAAATAAGAACTTAAAGCGTTATTTCGATATGTGTCTTCGAAAAGAAATGTAAATTGTGCAGGTCATTAAAAATAATAAATTGATACCTTGATTTTTTATTCAATTACTTTGTATAAGGTCACGCAAAGTTGGTTTTTCGTTTGCATTACCCGCCGACCTTTTTTTTCTTAATTTTTTTTTTTAAGCTTCGATTGTGAGCAAACCTAGCATTGCCATCAAAAAAATATAACTGACATCTAAATAATGGTAAAGTTGAGTGATTACTAATCGATTCGTAAATTAAAAATTATGTGATATATAAAATACTATATATACAATTGAATATATGGCGTTAGCTATGTTGTTTTATGGGTGATGCTAGAGCTGTTGTGCGAGATAACAAAATCATCTCACCGAAAGCACAAGGGCATAGGAGATTTCCGACACGTCAGAGGTGATCACATGCTCGACCTCAGCCTAATTCTCCGAAAATGCATCACCACAGTCGACTCCGAAAATGCGTGATACGTATCATTTCGGAGCTATAACACTTAATGTAATAGTGTTCCGCAAAAAAAGAACCGATCGGAACAGGCATTTTTAGTGGGCATAAAGTAGTGTTCCACAAAAAAAGTCATACTTATGATAACGCGGAAAAATTTACATTAAAAACAGGTTTCACTTTGTATCTCCAACATGCCTGTCATCAGTAGCAAGTCTTCGAAGTCACCAGATCCAGACCCAGAACCGAACCGGAACCGAAAATTTTGAAGAACTTTGAAGGCTTGTTACTGGTGACAGGAATGTTAAAAATGCAAATGGAATCCCGTTTCTGGTGTAGGTTTTTCCACACTATTTTATATATGGTTTTCAGTCCGGGTACCTTTTGTGGGGAACTACTTTTATGTTTACTAAAAATGCTGGTTCTAACCGGTTCTTTTTTGCGAAACACTAATGTAATATTACACGAAATAATATATATGACGCGAAAAAATTTTATTAATTAGAAAAAAAATAAAATAAAAAAATAAAAATAAACTGTAATATTGATTACATATAAGGAATTTTATTAATTGAAAAATTAATATTGAATAAATATAAATGAAATTTATTAATAATATATTAATTTGAAAGAAAAAAAAACCCTGTTATATAATGCTAATAAGAAATTTTATTAATTTGATGTTGAATATAAATAAGAATTTTATTAATTCAAAATTAAAAAAGTATATAAATACCAAATTGAATAATTACTAATACAACTGCTTTAGTAGTTTTATTACAAAAATAAAGAGCCTTTTTATATAGAAGTATGAGCCTGTTTTAAAGTTCTAAGGGACCTCAGTAGCAGTATCTTTTTTGAAGTTGATTAGAGAGTTTAAATAGAGAATCTATAGATAGATTTTAGATATAGCAATTAGTAAGTAACTATAAATAAAAATAAATATAGCAGAATTTTTAAATAGTTAAATAAACAATAACTAAAGTTATATATAACAAATTATACTCTTATTAATATAACAAAGTTAAATACAGAACTAGTAACCATATTAAAATTTAATTAAAGTTTAATAAAATATACCAGATCTTAAAATAGTTACCTTAATATAAAAAAATAATAATTACTAATATAATATTTTTTTCTTTACTTTAAATATAAATACTTATATTTATTATTATTATTATTTATCTGTAAATATTTTTTTATAAAAAACAAAAATTTAAAACTTGTTTAAATTGTTTAATATAAAATAAGTTTTTATAATAATTAAAAAGAAATAATAATTTATAAAAAAATTAATTTTTCTAAAATTAATAATTATATTAGGAGTTATTTATATGTACTCTAAAGTATATATACCTGTATCATGTGATATATATACTATATTATATAATAATATATATAACATTATAATAAAATATTTATTTATTTATTTATAAAAGTCAACAAATCGAAAAGACTGGAAGCATTTTTTAAGGGTTAAACATCACGTGCTACAACCCATTCTACTAGGAGTCAATCAAAGAAGACAATTAATATCAAATCACAAGAATATGCTACATAATCCTAAATCGTCAAAATAGCTAATAAAAAAAGAGATATAAAAGAATCACTTTCCTCATTGAATATCTAATTCATATAGTTAGTATTTCTTGACCCATCCTGTTATGATAATATCTGGTGCAGTTTCATTTGCTAATCTTTCAGAAGCATATCATTGTTTCAGTTCAAATTACTTACAATCACTATTTACTTAAAATTACTAATTTAATATATTCTGTGGACTTAAAGTCCTTTAATTGAATTTATTTCTGGCTCTTTTGCTATCCAAAATTCTTCCAACTATATGACCAAGACGCATCTATGCTTTTCGAACACAAAATTTACCTTTAACTAAAACCTGATAGTTCTAACTCTATTACTAATTACAAACCTATTCCTAACCGTGCAAATATATTTTTTGTATTAACATTAAATTCAATCTTATTTCTAACTAATTACCCATTTCATATCACCCAATTGTATTTGTAATCCTAACCCTAAACTCAACCCTATTTGTACTAAAATCCATTTCTATCCTTCTGATCTCATTTTTAAACCAACTTAATTTCTAGCTAAACACATTCCTAACCCTAAACAAAATTTGATTTCTCATTCAAGACTTAACCCTAATAAATCAATTATTACTTGCTTCATAAGTAATATCTTCGAATTATTTCATTTGCATTAATAATTTTATTTAATCTGTAAGTACAAAGAATCATTTCTTAATCATTAAAATTAAAAACAACAAAACAAGTTCACAAATCAAAAATATAAAATACTTAACAGTATGTAATATACTTTAAATCATTTTGTCGCATTAATCATTTTAATGAAAATCATTTATTAATCATTAGAATCAAAAACAGAAAAACAAATTCAAAATCAAAAAAGCCTAAACACTTATCAGTACATAATACTCTTCAGATCATTTTTGTCGCATTAATCATTTCATTCAGCTTGTCCCAGTATGCTGAAGTTGGTATCTGCCTGAAGTCACAATTTCAGATACCTGAAATTGTATCTGACTAAAATTAGCTTCTGAAATTAAATAATCCAGCTAGCAGTTTTGGGCAGATATAATTTCAAACACCTGAAGTTGCAATTTCAGGTAGGTGCCAACTTTAGATACAACATACTACTATTGTAAAGGTTTTACATACATTTAAGTTATTTTATCTAAAATTTGAAGAAACTATCATGATGTTCTTGCAAACTGATCTAAGTTAGCATAATGTATCAACTAACACATTTTCTTATTCTGTCTTGCAAAGTGCATCTGCTCGTACTTTTTCATCTTTTGATCTAAGAACAGCCAAAGTCAATACAATATTCTTACAAAATATGTCTACCAACACTTTTCCTCTTTTTGGTTCAAGCTAGTTATCACTAAGCTGCAAAAAACAATCAGCGCAATATTCTTGTAAAGTGTATCAGCTAATGGTTTCAACCTTCTGATCTAAGATTATTGTTATAAGATCTGAAAAATTGGTATAAAGTTCTTAAAAATCATACAAATGACACAAACCATAAAATCCACACCAACTTACTTAAAAACTATGACAAACCTGACACACAAAACCACCATAAATGGCAAAATCTACAACTACAAGAATGCTAAAAATAAAGTATCTTGTACACAAAATTATGCTGACAAAAACTCCAATAAAGTGACGTGAAATCTACGATAACACCTACAACGACGAAATTATAAGTAACCTGATGATACAGCATATTCACAAAGGCACCTAAATGATAACGACAAAAGCTGACACCTAAATTGACGAG